TTAAATATTAAATGTGTGCACCAAGTTTTAGGTATTTGTAGTTTTAGGTATTATGTTTTCCTAGGGCTACCATAAAAAAGTGCCATAAACCGGGTATCTTAAAACAACAGAAATTTATTCTCTCCAAGTTCTGCAAGCTAGAATTCCAAAATTAAGGTGTTGGCAGGACCATACTCTCTCTGAAGTCCCTATAAATGAATCCTTTCTTGCCTCTCCCAGCTTCTGATAGCCCTAGGCATTCCTTGGCTTAGGCAGTATAACTCTATATCTTCCTTGATCTTCACCTGGCCAGTCATATTGTATTAGGGACCCACTTTACTCCAGTAGACCTCATCTTAATTATTAATATTAATATATCTGCAGCCATTCTATTATAAGGTTGCAGCCTGAGGTATTGGAAGTTAGAACAACTTCAAAATATATTTTTGCTGGGATACATTTCAACCCATAATAGGCAGTAGTTTTAGTGGTATATTGTAAAATTCTTTACTGTTATATGTAGCATGAATTTTATATCTTATGTTTCTGTTTCAATCTCATTGAAATTTGAAACTAATTTCCCATGCTACCAATATAAGAAATCAAATGCCTACCACCTATTAACAAACAATATTTATCAAAATCGTTGTCTTTTGGAAGATGCCAACATTTGTACATGAAAGATTCTTCAGTGTGGTCTTACATGACCACTTGTTTTTGAAAATATACTTAAGATTCACCCAGCAGATAATTTAGTAGCAAAATACCTTGACAATAGAGCATTTTATGTACCTTTGGGAAAGTTAACACTTAACATTTTATATTTTTTGATAAAAGGACTCCATGTAACAGAGTATGAAGATAATTTGAAGAAATCGTGGATATGGAAAGAGCTATATGCTGTTAGAAATATAAGACCGTCTTGCCACGGAATACTGGGTATATATGGAGGGATGATTTACACTGGAATATTTTACTGGATATTAAGAGGAATGGAGCCATGGACTCTGAAACATAAAGGTAATTCAAACATATTTGAGAATATGAATGTTATAATCATTAAAGATTCCTAAGTGGAATCCATTAAGTAGTGGAGAAAGTGGTATTTTACTTTAATGTTTTAAACTTAAGTTAAACATTTAAGTAGAGAAATTATAAATTCAATGTCTTTAGGAGAACAGAGCATTGTTATTTTAAGAGGGCTAAAGTCATATTTATTTGGCATAATATTTTCAAGTTTTTATAAGAATATGCTTAAGAAATTACTTCAAAATTCTATTTTATTAAATATTTCCCTCAAAATTGTTTAAGGTTCTGACTCTGATCAGCTCAAGCCAGCCAAGGATTGCACACCTATTGAGTATCCAAAACCTGACGGACAGATCAGTTTTGACCTCTTGTCATCTGTGGCTCTGAGTGGTACTAATCATGATCATGACCAGCCAGCACATTTAACCTTAAGGGATGACAGTATACCTGTAAATAGAAATCTGTCAATATATGATGGGCCTGAGCAGCGATTCTGTCCTGCAGGTCAGTAATAATTTCCATTGATTCCTAAATATTAATATAAGTATTTGCTTTAAACATTTTAGAAATGAGTTTTTTGTTAAGAAATGATTAAGCTTTTCCCATTGCTTGGAAATTATAAATGACTCTACATCCAGCTCCCCATAGGAAACTCACTCTAACCAGCAATGTTAAAATATACAATTTTTGTTAAGCCTAGTTCAGATGACATTTCTCCAAAAAAAGCCTTTCCTGGTTCTACCCTCAGACTAAGATAAGGGTTATGGAACACAAAGGAATAACTCTCTTTACATGTTCATGTGACTTTTTTTTTTTTTTTTTTTTTTTTTGAGACAGAGTCTCACTTTTGTTGCCCAGGCTAGAGTGAGTGCCATGGCGTCAGCCTAGCTCACAGCAACCTCAAACTCCTGGGCTCAAGTGATCCTCCTGCCTCAGCCTCCCGAGTAGCTGGGACTACAGGCATGCACCACCATGCCCGGCTAATTTTTTGTATATATACTTTTAGTTGGTCAATTAATTTCTTTCTATTTTTAGTAGAGACGGGGTCTCGCTCAGGCTGGTTTTGAACTCCTGACCTCGAGCAATCCGCCCGCCTCGGCCTCCCAGAGTGCTAGGATTACAGGCGTGAGCCACCGCGCCCGGCCTCATGTGACTTTTTAAAGTCATTTCTGTCATAGCAGCTCATGATATGTGTGGGGGAATGCATGTGCTAAAATAGGTTATGGATGAATTCAGTCCAAGGAAATGGTTCCAAACTTTAAATTCACCATGAATACTATTATCTTTTAGTGTTGAGCTTTCACCTGAAATTACAGTAGTAGGAAAGAGGTCTCAAATGATATGGTAAAACAAATGGTATTCAGATATGTGAAAATTAGTACATTCTTAAAAGACTAGAATGTATACAAGTAAGCTCTTCAAGGGCAAGAACCTTCACTGTCTTTTTTAAAAATAATCATTTTTGTTTCATCATCGTTGGTTTTAAAATTCGCCGGGGGGGGGGGGGCGGGGGGGGCGGGAGACTGGATCTAATGATTTTTCTTTTCTTTTTTTTTTTGGAGACAGAGTCTCGCTTTGTTGCCCAGGCTAGAGTGAGTGCCATGGCGTCAGCCTAGCTCACAGCAACCTCAAACTCCTGGGCTCAAGCAATCCTACTGCCTCAGCCTCCCAAGTACCTGGGACTACAGGCATGTGCCACCCTGCCCGGCTAATTTTTTTCTATTATATATAGTTGGGCAATTAATTTCTTTATATTTATAGTAGAGACGGGGTCTTGCTCTTGCTCAGGCTGGTTTCGAACTCCTGACCTCGAGCAATCCGCCTGCCTCAGCCTCCCAGAATGCTAGGATTACAGGCGTGAGCCACCTCGCCCGGCCTAATGATTTTTCAACTATAGCATATATACAGTAGTCCCCTTTCCTTATAGTCAACCATGGTCTGAAAATGTTAAGTGGAAAATTCCAGAAATAAACAATTCATAAGTTTTAAATTGTATGCCATTCTGAGTAGTATAATGCACCATCCTGCCCCATCCTACCCTGGATTTGAATCATCCTTTAGTCCGGAGAATCCATGCTATAGATGCTACCTGCCCATTAAGTCACTTAGTAGCCACCTCAGTTGTCAAATCAACTGCAGTGGTATCACAGTGCCTTATGTTCAAGTAACCCTTATTTTACTTAATAATGGCCCCAAAACACAAGAAAAATGATGCTGACAATTTGGATATACTATAGAGAAGCCATGAAGTACTTCCTTTAACAAAAAGGTGAAAATTCTCAATTTAAGGACAGGGAAAAAAATCCTACACTGTGGTTGCTAAGAACAAATCTTCTATCTGGGAAATAGTGAAGGAGGAAAAAAAATTCAGATGGTTTTGCTGTCATACCTCAAATTGCAAAAGTTACAGCCACAGTGTGTGGTAAGTGCCTACCTAAGATGGACAAGGCATCATCACATTTGTGGGTGGAAGATATGAATAGAAACATGTTCCACCTGATAGCGTTGATACTAACCAAGGTTTCAGGCATCCACTGGGGGTTGGAACATGCCACGCCCCCTGTGGGTAAGGGAGATTACTGTATATGAGACTCAAAGACTGAATGTTTAGTATCCTTGTTAGTGAGACTAGCCAAATACTAGTACTTTCTTTTATTACAGACACGTAATTTATACTAACAGCAACAGTACATGCCAAGATCTTTGTAATATTCTCTACGGGTAAACATTCAGAAAATAACCTTCAAGGTTTCTGTAGCCACTGTTTCTAGGACTTTAATTTCTACTTTTGAATTTAAAAATTTTAAGATATGGACTTCATGCCGGGCGTGGTGGCTCACGCCTGTAATCCTAGCACTTTGGGAGGCTGAGGCGGGCGGATTGCTCAAGGTCAGGAGTTCGAAACCAGCCTGAGCGAGACCCCGTCTCTACCAAAAATAGAAATAAATTAATTGACCAACTAAAAATATATATACAAAAAATTAGCCGGGCATGGTGGCGCATGCCTGTAGTCCCAGCTACTTGGGAGGCTGAGGCAGTAGGATCGCTGAGCCCAGGAGATTGAGGTTGCTGTGAGCCAGGCTGACGCCACGGCACTCACTCTAGCCTGGGCAACAAAGTGAGACTCTGTCTCAAAAAAAAAAAAAAAAAAAGATATGGACTTCAATGTTATTTATTTTTACTTTACAGGAGTTTATGAATTTGTACCTTTGGAACAAGGTGATGGATTTCGGTTACAGATAAATGCTCAAAACTGTGTGCACTGTAAAACGTGTGATATTAAAGATCCAAGTCAGAATATTAACTGGGTGGTACCCGAAGGTGGAGGAGGACCTGCTTACAATGGAATGTAAACTGAAACTAATTTCATTTGCAGGCATGTTTGATAGCCAGTGCCTTAAAAAGTATGGCAAGGTAAACATTAAAATGTTTAGAGGTTAACAAGTATGAAAATATCTTACAGCATATTATTGATCAGAATGTTCACAAAATAATTAGAAGTAAAAGTTTTATACTGTTTCTAAAATTGTCCCATAAAAATTATGAATATTCTCTTAAATAAAACTTTAACAATGATGTAGCATCTACTTATCTCTTCAGTTCTTCAGAAATTCAGTACCAACAGCAAAATGCACTGTTGGACTTTATTATATACTTGCCAAATTTAAGTCTTAAGTGTAAATATGAACATATACTCTAGACCAGAGGTCAGTATTCAGCTCACCATGTATTACTAATAAAGTTTTATTGAAACACAGCCATACCCATTGTTTACACATTATCTATGGCTAAATTTGAGTTACAACTGCAGACTTGAGTAGTTGTGACAGACTACATGGTCCACAAAGCCTAAAAATTTGTACTATCTGGCCCTTTGCAGAAAAGGTCTGCCCACCCCTGAACAAGTATATATATATTATATGCAAGTATAAAACACCAGCACAAACTAACCATAGATGCATCAAAGAATTGAGGGAAACAATACACATACATAAACTTAAGTTTTCATCTATTTATTCAACATGTATCTTTAGGAGTTTAAAAACAGACTAAATACCATTATTCTTTGTAAATAATGCACATAACCATTTTTTTAAAAAACCAACTTCAATGTATTGAAACACTTTAATTAACAGCAAACCCCCATCAGTACTTCTAAATTGTAAACAATGGGGAACTGAGGTGTCAAAGGAAACACATTAGGGATCATATATAATAGACAAAAACCCTTACATTTCCTTATTGCCTTTATACAATCAACACATAGTATTTAGGCAAAACTGAATCCTTATTAAGCAAACATTTTTGCATATACTGCCTTCTCTTTATCTTTCTGTGCCTTTATCTTCTGTTTGACTTTCAGCAACTCTGCCTGGATAGCTGAAAAATATGCGATACGAGTTATTTCTCAAAACATCCAAAAAATAAGATAACCAACAAACTTTTAATGATAGTTAACTCCCCCTTGATAAAACTTTTCTCCTCCATAAAGTAACTGAGCCCCAGTAACAGAAAAGTCTGTTCTAAGAATAATATGAACACAAAAATCATAAAGTACAATTTTAGAAGACTGTTAACTGAAAGAACTCAATTATATAACGCTCTGCCTTCTTCATTAGAGAGGAAAGTAATGGCCTCCCTTGTTTCATTTTACCAGTAAGGTATCTTTTAGTGCTGAACTTTTTTTTCCCCAAGCCATGAAATGAAGTTTACTGAGGAAGGACAAAATAGTTTTAGAGCAAGAGTAAGATATGCTTCACCACAGAATGGTGAACAGACCAGACCCCTGTGTCTTAACAAAAGGGCCTAGTGCTGAGCTTTCAATTAGAATTACCGTAATAGGAATTGGATCTCAAATGATATGATAAATACAAACAGTATTCAGATATGTGAAAAACCAGTATATCTTGAGAGTGCCAAGAATGTAAGCTCTTTGAGGGCAGGGACCTTGACTGTCTTGTTCATTGCTATATGATCAATGCCAGGGAGATATTTATTTGTTCAGCAGATATTACAGAATACCTGTTAATATCCTTGATATCTGCAAAGGAAACAATGGTTCACAATAAATTTTTAGACAACAAAATGAACTTTCACTATAAAAACTGCCAACTTACCTTTATCTTCTGGTGCTATCTCCTGAGCTTTCTTAAGATCAGCCTTCAATGGGAAAAAACATAAGAAAAATTGGGTGTGTGATTTATAAGGTGGTTGTCTATTTTAAAAAATTAAACATTTAGAACAGAATTTACCAATGCTTGATCATATTCTTTTAATCCTTGCCATCCTTGAGCTCTGCGGTACAGAGCTTTGGTATTTGATGGGTCTATTTCAAGGGCCTACAAAAAAATTATAAAGTTAATATTATATTTAAGTATTAAATGTACATGCCAAATCTCAATTTATTGCCTGTCAACTCCAAATCTACCCTTCACTGCTCTGTGAAAATGGGGCTGGAACCTGTAAATAGCTCTGTTCTGCCAGCAGCCACTATGTTTTGTCAGTAGAGGGCACTAAACATACATCAAGGAGAAAGATGTTTCTCTTCCAGTGCTCCTCTCAGCACTATGCTTTCTATCTCCTGATTGTACCCTAATACATTTATATGAGAAAACCATTTTGAATAGAAGTAATACAAGTTTACATATACTCTTTTACTTGAAATCTAGGGGTTTTGTTAGGAATATGAACAACTTTTAATTACTTTTAAAAGACTATGTTTCAGGTCTGTCCCCTGAAACAAACATTTTAAAAATAATAATTTTGTTAATGTAACATCTTTTAAAGGCCCATACTCTGGTTTTTACTGAAGTGGATATATTATCTGCCTCACAAAAGTCAAAAAGATCCAGAGTGAAGACCAATCTTTTCTTTTGGCAAGTTTTTTGCTGTTATATGCTCCCTTCTAAATATATTCTTATGGCTTATTCCACCTATCCTACCACATTAGGATCTCATGTTAGTTCTACTTGCTCTGAGCATAGCTGATCTAGGTACATAGCTTAACATGCAAAATACATAAAATGTTTAGTTTGGAAAATTTTTCAAACACACTATAAAATAGGGAAAAGAGTCACAACTGCTCTATTTGAGGAAAGTAATGCCACCTTTCCACCAGGTATGTTAGCATGCTTGGATGGCCCTCATAAATACAGAACACCTTTCTGCTTGTTCCAATAGGACCCATTCTCCCTATGTAAGTCCTAATGACCCTAAAGTAAAATTGACCCCCTGCCATCCCAAATCTATTAAGCTTCTTGACAGCATAGACCTGTCTTTTAATTAAAATAACTAGTCTCTATTAGGTGCTTAAAATGTGCCTCACATTTTACTGTCTTACATTATTTTACATAATCTTTTATAACCACTCCATGAGGTATAGGTATTATTTATTTCTATTTTACAGATAAAGAAATTAAGACTGTAAAATTAGGAATTGACCCAAACCACAAAGCTAGAGAGTGGCAGAGACCTAAAAAAAAAAAAACAAAAAACTATCTTTGACTCTACAACCCACATTCTTAATCATTCCTGGTTTTGTCTTCCAATGCCTAGCATACAATAGGTGGTCTTAAATGAATAAATGAGCTGATATATATGATTTGGGGGAGAAAAGGCAAGTATCTTCATAGATATTACCTGATACAGTGTTAAAAGCAATATGAATAAACTGAAAAAACTAAAAGTCCAAAATATTTAGAGACAAGATGTCTTTACATTATGTTTTATCAAGCTTCATTAGGTCCTATATAATAAGATATATTAAAGTATATAAAAATTGCTTTTATGCAAGTTGATATGTCATAATCCAATTCCTTCAAAAAGTTCAAGATCAAACAGACTTACCTCCAAACAACTGTCAATTGCTCCCTGCCAATTTGACAACTTCAGTTTACAAGCACCAATATTCAGTACACAGCTTAAAGCTATGGGTTGCAGCTTAGATATATCTCCTTTCTCAGTAACAGCCTTTGAACCATCCACATATCTGGAGAACCATTAATAAAAGCAGTATGTAATGCCATATAGACAAGACTTACTCTTCTCCAACTGTCATTTCTGATATAAAAATCTCATCAAATGCTAATATTAATACTCTTAATGATCATAATCCCTTTATTTTTCTTTAGTTTTTTTTTTTATTTGCTTCAACTTTTTCCCAAAGTATTTAAAGAGACCAATTTAAGAACAATTCCCAAATCTAATTATGCACCAGTAATACTTTTCTGTTTTTGAAACTCAGGTTCCCATTATGTATTTTCCAATGTCATTATGTTTGGAACCAGTATTCCCATAATGGGTGAAGGGAATTAAATGGGGAAAGCTTAAGAAGAATCCTTTAGTGTTGATTTTAAATTTAAATTGTCCATTGAAAAGGACCCAGAAACAGCACACCTGGCTCGTAGTCATTTCCTTTCTCTGAAAGAAATCAGAGTTCCTTAGAGAAAATGCTGATACCAGATGTGAAAACAAGGTAAGTGTAAGATGAGCATAGAATACCTTGTGTAAGAAAGCAAGCAAGTGTTCACAAACTAGTAAGAAAGGGGGGACTGCCACTGAATAAATTTGGAACCCTTTGGATATCAAGAATGATGGTAATAGTATATTAACAAATTGAATTGAAAAATATCCCTGGGTCTATAATGACACTAAAAAATGGGGGGAGGGTGGCTCTTGCAAAGAGAAGAATGCCAGCTAATAAATATAGAATGATAAAATAAGAAATCACAGTTCTGCAACCATCAGTGTAATAATTCAGGCAAGGATCTTCAATGATCCCCCATCTCTTCAATGGTAAGCCATTGCATGAAAGTTTATTAAGATCTGGACACTAACACACTCAATCTCACAGTACCACCTCACAGACTACTTATTATTTATAAAGGGGGAAAAGGTACTTTTATAACATATACTTCTGGCTGACACCACTCTAGCCAAATGCCCAAACTCAAAACAGGCCAAATTGACATGTGCCTTCAGGATATATAATAGAACAGTATGACCTGCCTAAGTCCTCTGGCCAAAATATTTCTGAAACTAATCTTAAGGAAACAATCAAACACATATGGATGGTAGTCTATAACACAATTGACTTGGATTCCACAAAAAATACAAATGAATAAAAATCTAGGGGAGGTAGGGACCATTAACAATTAGAAGTAACTAAGAGACATTACATTCAAATATTATACAAAGCAGGATCTTAATTTGGACACTGGATTAAAAACAAAAAAATTGAAAGGCCGGGCGCTGTGGCTCACGCCTGTAATCCTAGCTCTTGGGAGGCCAAGGCGGGCGGATTGCTCAAGGTCAGGAGTTCGAAACCAGCCTGAGCAAGAGCGAGACCCCGTCTCTACTATAAATAGAAAGAACAATTAATTGCCAACTGATAATATATATAAAAATTAGCCAGGCATGGTGGCGCATGCCTGTAGTCCCAGCTACCTGGGAGGCTGAGGCAGAAGGATCACTCGAGCCCAGGAGTTTGAGGTTGCTGTGAGCTAGGCTGACGCCAGCACATCACTCTAGCCTGGCAACAGACTGAGACTCGTCTCAAAAAAAAAAAAAAAAAAAAAAAAGACAAAAACAAAAAAATTGAAACGGGGAAACCTGTACATAGATAACATTAGATTATTATGTATCAATATTATTTTGGGGGTATTTTAATGGTATTGCAGTTATGTAGAATGTCCTTGTTTCTTAGGAGATATGTGCTGAAATATTTAGGGGTAAAGTATCATGGTATTTGCAACCTCCTTTCAAAATTTTTCTGCAAAAACAAAAATAGCAAAAGTCAAAAATTGGTGAATGTAGGTAAAGGTATATGAGAAATTATGTACCATTCTTTCAACTTTTCTGTATTTTGAAATTTTTCAAAATAAGCTAGGGGCAACAAAAAAAATGCAACTATTTCAACACACCTAGTTATTCCCTAAGTAATGAGCAATTCTGAATTTCAGCTTATAATAAAATTTATTAAGTTCTTAAAAGTAACTTATTAAAAATATTTTTATTACCTTAAAACTTTTGTATATTTTTTAATGGCCATCTCCCAGTTCTGGGACTTGAAACAATTATTTCCAATATTTTTTAAGTCTTCTGTTATTAATAAAATTTTATCTACCTGTATAAAAAATACAAATGTTGGATTTTAGTAAGTAATGGTGGTTTAAGGCTAGGTCTATCATGACAGACTGACACAAAACCTCAAACTTTTAGTACTAAGTATTTTTATTTATTAAAGTAATTAAAGTTTGACTAATCTGAAAGTACTCACATCTTTTAAATCAATATCCGCATCCTCAGGGAAATCTGGATGACTGTCGCCAGAACCATCTTTTGGGACTAGTCCCCAATCATCCCCTTCCTTCAATTCTCCACATTCTGCAATAACGCACAACTGTAAAAATAACCCTAAATTGTTGAAGTGCACTACCATGTTAGGGACAGCTTAAAAATTATCTCGGTTTTAAAAGCTGTATGGCTGGAACTCATGTGCAATACTGTCCAATTCAGATTTATGTTAGGAGGCTATCTGTTAAAATTATAATAATGCTCTTTATAGACATTCCAACTAATGTATCACTATTTACATAAGTATTTTATTGCTATTCAGGAGCTCAGTAAACACTAAATTGGCAATTTTATCATTCTTTGTGTAATTATCTCTGGTGTAGCATGAGCTTTCAGTTTACTACTATTCTCTTCATACACTGAGTGACAGCCTACCTCCTACAGGTAACTGAGTTTCCAATTCCCGCTCACAACCCTGTCACTTACATTAGATAGTATTACAGTCATTTTGACTCAGACATTTAAAACACAAGGATCTTAAGAGATAATCTAGTCTTAGTCCTTAAGCAATTTAGATTACTGAAGAATGAAGAAACAAGTCCAGAAAAGTAACAATATCAAGGCCAAACCTCTATTAATGGCACAATCCAGGTAAGATTTTAGGTTTACTGTCCTTTTTCTTCTATGTACTAGTATATATACTGACTCAAAAAATTTTGCAAGTCTAGGAAGACTTAAGTAATCTAGCAAAGACCACCAACATGGAAGTTGAAATAATAATAAAAATTGCCTTTTTTAAAACTACCCTAGTTATCTTTCCCATTGTAGAAAACAGTTAAAAAGTGGCAGATCTAAGCTCCCATATCAAAAGCTACTCCAATATTTTTCCAATTTTTCTAGCCCATAATCGCCCAATCCTTTTATTTAAATTACTTTAAGATAGCAACTAAGACAATAAGTGTATTTCACTGTAACTTTTTACTTACTTTGGCAGGTTTTTCACCTTTCACTTCTACATTTTCCAGTATCCTTGCCACACCTATTCCTTTAATTACTTGGCCAAACACCACATGTTTCCCATCCAAATGAGGAGTTGGAACTGTTGTGATAAAGAACTGAGAACCATTTGTATTTCGGCCTGCATTTGCCATGCTCAATAAACCCTCTCGATCATGCTGTAGAAATAAAATCATTAAAAAAAAAATCAAGGTTAGAGGTATTAGTTTGAACTGTTCTTTTACTGACCCATTCACATAAAACTGGTATGCACAGACCTATCTAGATCAAACTTTGCTTTTTTCACTTTTAAGATTTTTTAATTACATTTTACTTTGTATAAATCACAACATTTGGCCAGACATAACAGCTCACACCTGTAATCCCAGCACTTTGGAAGGCTGAGGTGAGAGGATTGCTTGAGCCTAAGAGTTCAAGACCAACCTGGGCTGTTGTAAGACTTCCATCTCTACAAAAAATAAAATTAGCCAGGTGTGGTGGCATGTGCACATAGTCCAGCTACTTAGGAGGCTGAGGCAGGAGGACTGCTGAGCTCAGGAAGTTTAAGGATGCACTGAATTATGATCCTGCCACCACACTCCAGCCTGAGCAACAGATCAAGACCCTGTCTCTTAAAAAAAAAATGTAGCCTTTAATTCACAAAACATGGGGTACTTAATCATTTTTTAAACTTTTAAGAAAAGCTCGTGAAACCAAATAAGATAATAGAAATAGTGGAGGGGGTAGCTGTTTCTAAATTGGCCATCTCGGGAAGATGCTTATAAGTTGTCTATAAGATGCAGCATTAAGAAAATCTAGTAATATATTTTGCCCTTTTTATGATGGATGCTCTTTTTTCTGAGAAGATCTGAACAGTCTTCCCACATTCATAAATGTGGCCCAACATTATAAGTCTTCCTTTACATATCAATAAACTGGGAACAGTAATCCAATATTGAATTTATTTACTTATTTTTTGAGACAGGGTCTTACTCTGTTGCCCAGACTAGAGTACAGTGTTGTCGTCGTAGCTCACTGCAACCTCAAACTCCTGGCCTCAAGCGATCCTCCAGGCTCAGACACCTCAAAAAAGTGCCAGGATTATAGGCATGAGCCACCGCACTTGGCCTTGGGATGCTGAGTATAGACAAGACATTGTTAGGTATTTTCCTAATATCAAAAGAATCCAAATCTCACGGCTTTCATCTCAGGTGAATCACCTCTTCAGAGAGTGCTCAAAATGCTGCATACATCTTGAAACCAAAATTCTACCTTGGCATCATCATCTTCTTCTTCTTCTTCTGTAAAACCCAATTTCTTCAACTTTTCACTTTATGTCTTAGGCTTTCTAATGTATTCTTTGTTGATGCATGCATTATAACACTCATGGTATATGTCATATCTCAACTCATTCTACCTAAATGTCTTTTACCCCTTCAATCTAAATCAAATTCACCTCTCAAAGCCACCGAGTTTGTGGAAGAACTGTGTCCTTTCTTTAGATACCCCTACACTTTCTTTTTATCAATGTGATTGTCATGTAATCTTAGTTTCAACCTTCTGGTAGCTTCCTTTGGTTACCACAATATTAACTAAGATATTAATTTTGTTTCCTAAGCCTCCCATTGCCTTTGTCTTTCCTCAGCCACACCCCTTCTTCAATCCTGCATCTACACTTCAGTTCCTGCCTAACCAAATTTTAACCACCCTGAAAGTCCCAGTTTGCACAGCCGAAGTACCCATTCCTCCTCAATGTCTTCCCTAATAATTTGGACCACATAATTCACAGAAAGTTTCTCCTATAGTATACACAGAAAGTTATGTACTACCAATGTTATATAAGCAAGGATATTCAATCAATTTAGCACTTATTTGCATTCTGTGATATTACTCAGTTGTCCCATGTGTTTTAATCTTATCTCTTAGTAGGATTATAAATTCCTTGTCATCAACACTTTTCATTTTTATAAACCCTTCAATGCCAGTGACAGTATTGAGCATATAATTGCAGTCAATAAATACTGTTTAAAAGACTGATGTCATTTTCTTTTCAAATTATCCTATTACCTTGATCGTAGTCCTCACTTCCAAAGATAGCACTTTACTTTTGTACTTACATGTTCATCCTCATAACTTGATGATGCAATATACCCCAATTACATCTTGGAACAATAAAGAAGGCACAGGCATCACTAATCTCCATTAGGAGCTTGGACATTAACAATATTCACTAGTTGCAAATCCCCTAATACCTCAGATATTAGTGATAGTTTTGTCAGCTCTTCAAATTCAAATAAAGACACACCTTCTGATAATGAGAATATTTTTCCTGGAAACAATTTTGCCATATGTTGGTAGCCACACTTAAAAACTCATCAGCTTAAGTAAAAAAAAAAAAACAACCTGGATCACACTGAAATAACTCTGATATTCATTACTGGGTGAAAACTTGCCATACTAAAGACCCATATTTACCAATATAATTCCTTTTACAAGAAAAGGAGAACCTAAGCACAGATGAGACTTTTTTGTTGTTGTCTTAATCCAACACATATTTCAGACATAAAATAATCTTTTTATCAGCAATAACATGCATTTTTTTCTACTTCACCTTATAATGGAAATTTTCATCTTCAAATTTTTCACCATAAATACTTTCTCCACCTGTTCCATTCTGATTTGAGAAGTCTCCACCTTGAATCATAAATTTCTTAATAACTACAAACAAGGAAAATGGCTATTAGTGACTGAAACATGGATGACTTCAGCAATATTAACTGATGAGTATGTAATAATTAAGACAACTTCCTAAAACATGACTCTAGTCAAGTCACTCTCCTGTCTTTCTCCACTCATCCCCACAAAACTACACACTCTAAAGGCTTTTCACAATCTGAGTCCAACCTACTTTTACTGCCTGATCTCCCACTAACATTCAAAAGATTAGTTCAAATGGTACCTCCCCTATAAAATTGTCACGAATATCCCAAAGTTGTATCTTGACTCTTTTTTTTTTTTTTTTTTTGAGACAGAGTCTCGCTTTGTTGCCCAGGCTAGAGTGAGTGCCGTGGCGTCAGCCTCGCTCACAGCAACCTCAAACTCCTGGGCTCGAGTGATCCTTCTGCCTCAGCCTCCCAGGTAGCTGGGACTACAGGCATGCGCCACCATGCCCGGCTAATTTTTATATATATATATCAGTTGGCCAATTAATTTCTTTCTATTTATAGTAGAGACGGGGTCTCGCTCTTGCTCAGGCTGGTTTCGAACTCCTGACCTTGAGCAATCCGCCCGCCTCGGCCTCCCAAGAGCTAGGATTACAGGCGTGAGCCACAGCGCCTGGCCTTGTATCTTGACTCTTATACATCATAATGATCTGTCTCTTCCAGCAATCAATGAATTCCTCTTAAGTACGCCAACAGTCCTATTTTTCATCCTTGTAACCATGTGCATGGCTAGGAACATACAAGTTACTCAATTATTCCCTATAGATTTGTTATACCACAACAGAAATACTTCAGCAAATATTACCACTTTGTGTCAAGGTTTACCAAGACTTCTCCCACTTTCTGAGATCCCTAGGGCTCATGAGATATAGCACTTGGTTGTATCACAGTAGCAAGGATACACAGCTGGATGAAAAGAAGACAACACATAGGCAGAGTCTGGAGGAATCCATGTGCAGGCCTCTTTATGCTCTCTCCCTCCCACAAAGGGTCATAGAACACACACTTCCCCCAGCAATGAAAATGCAGCAACACATGTACAATGTTTCTGCCCAGAAGAGGCAATAAGAGACTCAGCACCCAAGGTATTTATTGGGCAGTCTCTGTCAGGTAGGCAGGCACTCTCTTCCTAGCATGTACCAAAATTCCAGACTCCCAAAAGAAGCAAATGTTCAGCATAAATCATGTGTTTGTACAAACAGTCTAGGCATAGTAAATCACCCCTATGATTTAGGAAATAGTTCAGGTGCCAAGACTCCAGCCAAGCGCTACCCTTGAAGACAGACCTTTCTAAGGATAGCAGTCCCAGGCTGGCTATGTTATATATTTTCTGCATACACTTTATTAGCATCTTCTGCTATTTTATTAAACATGAAAGTAAATCAATAGTTTAAATATTTAAAAATCAATGTTAATTTTTTAATAAATCATGTTTTTTTAAAAAAGCAACTACTCATATGATTATAGTTTAACTTATTAGTCTACTTATTAAATAAATATTTATTGAGTACCTATTCAACAACTATACTAGATTCTTAAGACAAAACAGTAAGAACATAGAGTTCCTGAACTCATAGAGACTACAGTCTATTTGGAGGAACCATCAAGTACTAAACAAAGGTATGATTACAAGTGTGATAAGCAGTATAAAACAGCATATTTTAATCACATATCACCAATGTGTCCAAGACATTGAATCTTTAAATCCTCAGCTTTCTTAAACAACCATGCCCAAGAAGTAGGAACAGCTTTTTTGTTACCAAGCAAACTAAGATCAGCTTATCAATCATGGCCACACCCTTCCTTTTTCAATCAAATCTCAGAGTGAAGGAGTTAGAGGACTGGCAAAGCTAGGGTAGTCAATTTCTTACCTCCCTGTAAGTAATTCTCTCTCATAGCCTAGCCTGTATGAAACTAAGCTACTACACCAGATGTCAAAGGGATCTCTTGGAAACTAATAGTACTTTTTAACCTTCGCTCCCTACTTAGTGTTTTCTTCCCTAACTCCTAAGGAACAGGGCTTATTTATCTATATGATGAATAATCAGATTCAGAAAATTCACACATACTTCGATGGAAAGGGCATCCTTTGAAATGGAGAGGTTTCCCAGTTGTAGGTCCAATCCCTTTTTCTCCTGTACACAGTGCACGAAAATTTTCTGCAGTTTTGGGTACAATATCTGCAAACAATTCTAAGACAATCCGACCAGCTAAAAGAAAACGAAATCTTGTCAGTAGGGAAAACAACCAACCAAACAGGCAAATGATAAAAGACAGTTGTATAATTATGGCAAAAGATGGCTCACGAATTACCAAATCCCCTTTTATTGTCTTTTTTTTTTGCAACTTCAAGGACATAGTATGTTGTTATTAACTATAGTCACCATGGTGTACATGAATCTTGAATTTATTCCTCCTTTCTAACTGAAATGTATGAATCCTTTGACCAACAGTTCCCCAGCTCCTGGTACCCATATACTCTCTCTACTTCAAGGTCAACTTTTGTAGAATCCACACATAAATGAAATAATGCAGTATTTGTCTTTCCAGGCCTGGCTTATTTCTATTAACATGATGTACTCCATATCTATCCATGTTGCCAAAAATGACAAGATTTCATTCTTTTTTAAGGCTAATATTCCATTGTGTATAAATAACACATTTTCTTTATCCATTCATCTGCTGATGGATGTTTATCTTGATTCTATTACCTTGGCTATCACAAGTAATGCTGCAATGATCATGGGGGTGCAGATCTCTCTTCCACATACCAACTTAATTTTCTTTGGATATATATACTCAGTAGTGGGATTAGTGGACCTTATTGTCATTTTTCTAATATTCAGATTTAATCTACCTAAAGTTTACTGCCATGTATCTAAATAGATTTGAAACATCAAAGTATCATAACCAATTACCATGTTTCCCCTAAAATAAGACAGGGTCTTATATTTATTTTTCCTCAAGAAGATACCCTAGGGCTTATTTTCAGGGGATGTGTTATTTTCCTCTCAAAGCCTCAGTTTGCAGCACGCACAGGATGGCCGGGAACTGACAGGGGGAGTCAACTTTGTTGGTAGGGCTGCCAGCACCTTGCCAGTCACCTCTGGGATAGTAGCTGTCACGATGGGGCAGATGAGGAGGGCTGCTCATCTTCTTTACCACTCCGCAACTAAATGCATGGGTTGTGCAGATACGCTGCGTAGCCACCCCCATCACTAGGTCTTATTTTCAGGGTAGGGCTTCTATTGCACAAATGTTTAGAAATCCTGCTAGGGCTTATTTTATGGGTAGGTCTTATTTTCTGGGAAATGCGGTACAAAAGCCAGAAGATTAGCACCATAGGAGGGACATCAGGAAGTACAAAAGGTTTTAAACCCTGAGTAATTTCTTCAAGAGGTACTCAGAATCTCCAATCACAAAGTAACCAACAAGAGAAAATTAAATATCCTTTAAAGTGGTCAGGTTGGCCAAGTTTTGCGTAGATTTGTAGCCTTTGTGCTCTAGGAAGTTTCCTAGTGCAGCCTCCAAAGCAAAAGCTGAGAATGTTTCTCCTCTAGAAAGCTCCTAAGACAGGTGAAAATAAACCTACCACTAGTTACAAAACCAACTGAATGGACGAGAAAATGTGTGTGTACTGTACGTGCATTCAAACACACTGCCTGGCCACTAATTCCAACATGTTCCAGAACAAAACTGATTCAATTACAAAGCAACGTGCTCCCTAACTCACCAGGGCGTAGGAACTTCTGAGCTGCTATGTAACCTAGGCAACCACTTTGATAAGTTGAGCTCATTTTCCCAGTGCCAAAACAGAGAATATGTTTGCCTGACTGGACCTCCAAGTTAAGAATCAATAACAAGGAAAACGCAATAAGCAAACAAGTCGCTTTAACTTATAAATAACATGGCAGGTGCTGATATATGTATTTTGTGCGCCAAAACATATGGCGTGCCTGTAGGCTAGCAGCAGCATATCCCAGGAGCCTTCTTAACTGGCCCACTGCAAACATAAAACAATCGTATTTTCATGCTAACTTAGTGGCGCAAAGGTGGCAGGGAAGTGGAACCAGGAGAGACAAACCTAAAGGCCACCACAATTCCAGAACCAGACATTTCTAGAAACTTCTGCATGACCGATGGCATTGGGACAAGGGCGAAGGCTCGACCTAGCCCTGGATGCCCGGGCTCGTTCCAGCGCGCCAGACTAGGCAGCCATCCCCATCCCCCTCCACGATAGCGAGCAGCCCCCGGCCGGAACCGCGCACTTCCCACCCCTCCTGGAGTCCCCGAATCCCGGGCACCTCGGGTCCTTTCTGCGAGCGTCAGACACTCTCCTCACCTCGCTCCCCTCCGATGTCCACGTCAAAGAAGACTCGGGGGTTACTGGGGTTGGAGGGCTTAGCTTGGGGTGAAGGGTGCGACATTTCGACTTGCAGACGCGTTCGGAAGCAGGATCCGGACACCTCGTGGCGGCCCCGCACCTCAAACTCTAGAGCGCCTCTCTCCGGGGGAAGCTGGAGAGGGCGCTGAGTAGCCACTTCCGGCGCGAGGCCCGGGAGCCGCAGCCTGACTTCCGGCACCGCCTCCCCGCGGCGTTTCAACGCGCTTGAGTGGCGCGCGTGCGGCACTCCTCCCGTTGTACCTGTCTTCTCATTCGCTGAAGTTCCCAATTCTTTTTTTTTTCTTTTCACTTACATTTCCTCGTCTTTCCTACCATTGTATCGTAGAGAGCTTTGGAGTCAACTCCATTCCAGCCTTAGTTTTGCCACTAACTGGCGTGTGACTTCTCTGAATTTGCTCTTCGAAAAATGGAAATAAAAATGCTTACCTCGGAAGGTCGTTTGTAAGATCAAAGAGGTAAATCACTCAGCACCATGCCTGACACAAACTGGCAGTTCTTAATCAATAGGAGCCTTATTATTGTCATATTGTTATGATTTTGATCTTCAAGTTACAATATAAGTGATAGACTAACGGCTCCAAAGAGCTGAAGCTGAGAGTCCTGAAGAGGGCACAGTTCTGATTCCTAATAAAACTGTTTTATTATAGTCTACTTTTCCCTTATGTGAATTTGTGTAAAATATTTTACCTATATGTATTTTTTACCTATATATATGAGGAGAACATAGTCTCACTTCTTGATAAAGCCCAGTTTTGGAGAAAAGAAACTTCCCTGCGTAGATGCATTGACCTCTAATTGTGTTGGAGCCCAGAGATTTGGATTCGACCTGAGGCTTACCTTATCAATAAAGCTTAAGGTATCTTTAAATACCATACTGTTTTTTTCCTTATGAGAAAGTAAAGAGACATGGTAGTTGAATGCAGCACTCACAGAGTAGATATCAAAAGCCAGGAGTTTTGTGTGGATTTCCGCAGCCAGAGTGGCCTTTGGAAAGAAAGATCAGTGCTAATTTTCCCCTGTCAGAATTGCCACCAGCTATCCACATAAAGGCTCATGTCCTGATTGCTGCCTGGTCTTAGGATATGTAAAAATTAGAATGGTCATGGTTAAAGAACAACTGGTTCCTACTCTCAACTTGAAGTGGCCTATGATATTATACACTGGACAAAGCATTAAAGTTGATCTGAAAAAAGAAAAAAAATGCAATAGGTTCAAGTTCTGACTACAATATACTAGGAGTATGATCAAAGAACATTCCTTTAATTTCTGTGAACCTGCTTGCTTTTCAGTAAACTGGAAAAAAACAGGGTATGAGAATGGAAAGAGATGATGTGTATTAATTTGCATTGTAAACTCTACAGCATTTGTATACCAAGACTTTTTTTTTAATCGATATGAAAATAAAATGCTATGATATCTGGGTTTGTTTGAAAATAATCCGGGGTCAGGTGAGTGGATAGGGTTATGGCTAAAATAAAATTGGCCATGCAGATGATTGGTGCATGGGGGTTTATTATACTACTCTTCTTATTTTTGCATATTTAAAATTTGTCATAATGAAAAAAATATTTTACAAGATACAAAAGAAATGACTTGTACAGTTTTTACTAGGTTCTCTTTATAAAACTAACTTGTGAAGTCATTTTTAACTAAAATACCAACATCTTTTTATAATCAAAAAATGAAATAGGCCGGGCGTGGTGGCTCACGCCTGTAATCCTAGCACTCTGGGAGGCCAAGGTGGGCGGATTGCTCAAGGTCAGGAGTTCGAAACCAGCCTGAGCAAGAGCGAGACCCCGTCTCTACTATAAATAGAAAAAAATTAATTGGCCAACTAATATATACAGAAAAAATTAGCCGGGCATGGTGGTGCACGCCTGTGGTCCCAGCTACTCGGGAGGCTGAGGCAGGAGGATCACTTGAGCCCAGGAGTTTGAGGTTGCTGTGAGCTAGGCTGATGCCACGGCACTCACTCTAGCCTGAGCAACAAAGCGAGACTCTGTCTCAAAAAAAAAAAAGAAAGAAAGAAATAATAGGACAAATCAATAAGCACATTATATTGATTAAATATTTCTGTGTAATCACAAAGCTCCAGCATTAACAAAAGATGTATACGTACATAGGCATGCAGATAGATACTTCATGTATATGACAAAAATTTATGGAGTTCTTACTATATGCCAGAGTGCTGATGATACAATGTTGAAAAAAAACGTAGTCCTTATCCTTAACTACACAAATTTTATGGTCTAACAGGAGAGAAAGATTATTGAATAAACCTCTACAATGCAGTGTGTTTAGTGCTTTAATAGGAAACATACAGTTACATTCAGTACATAGCAGGGGCACACAGCAGGGGCCCTTTTTGAAATCAGAAATAGTAATAAAGTCAGTCACAGGAGTATATGTGGCAAGTAAGAGGGGTAAGAAGGGAACAGATGAAGAGCATGTTCAAAGGAGAGGGAACTACATACAAGGCAAAAATGTCCAAGAAAACCATGTTACTTCTCCATGAGAAGCCAGTTTGTCAGCCAGTGCTCTGACTTCAGGTGAATCTGGACCACTGGTTTTGAGCTTGAATCAGAAGTCATACTTTGGTTTGTATTTCTGTCCAGCTTTTCTTCAGATGGAGTTTTGAGAATGAGAAACATTTTATCCCTGAAGTAGGGAGTTAGCCCGTTTTATCCCTGAAGTAGAAAGGAAAAGGAACAATGAGAAGAAAGAACTCAAAAGGCACCCCTATAGCAAGTCCCTAACTTATTTTACCTTAGCACTTAACATTTTTAATACACTTATTGTTTACTTATTTCTTTTGTCTTCTCCCATTAAAATTAAGGTCCATGAGGACAAATTTTTTTTTTTTTGGCATATTATGGGGGTACAGATTTTAAGGTTTCAATAAATGCCCATTTCCCCCCCTTCCCCCAAAAGTCTGAGTCTCCATCATGACCATCCCCAGATGGTGCACATCTCACTCATTATTATGTATAAACCCGCCCCCTCACCTCCCAATACCCTATTACTGTAGCACCTATGTGTCCACTTAGGTGCTACTCAGTTAATACCAGTTTCTGGAAATATATCTGGTGCTTGTTTTTCCATTCTTGGGATACTTCACTTAGTAGTATGGGTTCCAGCTCTAACCAGGAAAATATAAGATGTGCTATATCACCATTGTTTCTTAGAGCTGAATAGTACTCCATGGTATGCATATACCACATTTATTAAATCCTACTAATCCATTCTTGATTGATGGGCACTTGGGCTGTTTCCACAGCCTTGCAATTATGAATTGTGCTGCTATAAACATTCGAGTGCAGGTGTCTTTTTTGTAGAGTGTCACTGGATCATTTGGGTAGATTCCCAGCAATGGGATTGCTGGATCAAATGGTAGATTCACTTGTATCGCTTTAAGGTATCTCCATATTGCTTTCCACAGAGGTTGAACTAGTTTGCAGTCCCTCCAGCAGTGTAGGAGTGTTCCTCTCTCTCCGCAACCACGCCAGCATTTATTGTTTGGAGATTTTTTGATAAAGGCCATTCTCACTGGGGTTAAGTGATATCTCATTGTGGTTTTGATTTGCATTTCCCTGATGATTAGAGATGTTGAGCATTTCTTCATATGTTTGTTGGCCATTCTTCTGTCTCTTTAGAAAAATTTCTGTTCAAGTCCTTTGCCCACTTTTTAATGGTTATTTGATTTTTCTTCCTAATTTTCGTGAGTTCTAAGTATATTCTAGTTATCAGTCTTATCGGATACATAGGATGCAAAAATTTCTCCCATTCTGTAGATTGTCTGTTACTTTCATGACTATTTCTTGGCTGTGCAGAAGCTTTGTAGTTTGATCAGTCCATTTATTATTTTTGTTGCTGCTGTGATTGCCTTTGGGGACTTCATAAACTCTTTGCCCAGGCCGATGTCTAGGAGAGTGTTTCCAACTTTTTCCTCTAGAGTTCTAATAGTTTCATATCTTAGGTTTAAGTCTGTTATCCAGCGTGAGTTGGTTTTTGTGAGAGGTGAAAGGTGTGGGTCCTGTTTTAGCGTTCTACAGGTGGCTATCCAGTTTTCCCAGCACCATTTATTGAAGAGAGATTCTTTCCCAGCGTATGTTTTGTCTGCTTTGTCAAAGATGAGATGGCTATATGAGGATGTTTATATCAGGATTCTCACATCTGTTCCACTGGTCAATATTCCTGTTTTTGTGCCAATACCATATTGTTTTAATTACTACAGCTTTGTAGTATAGTTTGATATCTGGCATATTAATGCCTCCCATTTTGTTTTTGTTGCCTAGAATTGCTCTTGATATTCGGGTCTTCTTTGGTTCCATACGAAGCGTAAAATTATTTTTCTATATCTGTGAAGAATGTTGATGGGATTTAAAGGTATTGCATTGAATCTGTAGATCAGTTTGGGTAGTATAGACATTTGATGATATTGAGTCTGCGATCCACGAGCATGGTATGGATTTCCATCTGTTTACATCCTCTGCTATTTCCTTCCTCAGTGTTTCATAGTTCTCCCTGTAGAGGTCTTTTACCTCTTTGGTTAAATATATTCCTAGGTACTTTAATTCTTTGTTGCTATTGTGAAGGGAATTGAGTCTTTGATTTGGTTCTCAATTAGATTGTTGTTGGCGTATATGAATGCTCTGATTTCTGTGTATTGATTTTGTATCCTGAGACTTTACTAAATTCATTGATCAGTTCCAGAGGTTTCTTGGTTGAATCCTTGGGTTTCTAGATACAATATCATATCATCAGCAAACAGTGAAAGTTTGATCTCTTCTGCCCCTATTTAGATACCTTTGATTCCATTTTCCTGTCTGATTGCTGTAGCCAAGACTTCCAGCACTATGTTGAACAGAAGTGGAGATAGTGGGCAGCCTTGTCTGGTTCCAGTTCTAAGTGGGAATGATTCAATCTTTCCCCATTCAGTATGATGTTGGCTATGGGTCTGTCATATATGGCTTGTATCATTTTTAGGTATGTCCCTTCTATGCCTATTTTCTTAAGTGTTCGTATCATGAAAGGTGTGAATTTTGTCAAAAGCTTTTTCTGCATCTATTGAAAGAA